CAGGCCCATTAAGATTTTCCCTTTTCTTTTCAGCATAAAAACTAGTTATTCAGCAGGCAAAAAGAAAAATGAAGCTGCTAGAGGCTATAAAACAGTGAAAGTGCTTCTCCAGCTCAGAGCTAAAGAGACAGAGCTGTGCAATGTCAAGGAGAGGCACCCAGTCTTATTTAATCCTGAGCAGCCCTGCAGGATGATGCAGAGGACAACCTGTTATGTAACACCCAGAATGCTGCAGCAGCACAAATGTCCAGGAACAGAGAGCTGCAGAGAGTGGACATTAAAGCACAAAGATGGAGGGGAAAGGATGCAGCTTTTCCATATATAAAGATAGAACACTTGTGCATACAGCTGCAGGTAACCTGTATGCTGCCTGCATGCGCTGACAGGAGATAATTAATTCATTATTGATTTAAAAAGAAACAGGATGAAACTTTCCCAGTTTACAGAAGACTTGATTCTTTAACATAAAATTATTAAGCTTCTAAGCAGTTAAATTGAATATCCAACTTGCATTTATTCATGTCAAGCTTCACAGTAACATTATTATCATTATCTCCCTTTTCTCTAAACAAAAAGTCCCATTACTTGTATCACCATAGGTAGAAGCTGAGGGGAGTAAAATGTTACACAAGTCCAAACAATTGAGGAGAAGGTGAGAGCACACCTACCGTCTGCACATGTCACCATGCAGGCTGCTGCAGCAGCGGGGAGCAGAGATGACACCTGCAGCGTTCACCTGAACCCCGAACCCGGAACCAGACTCCTCCTCCTCCTCACACAGTCAGGTCAGCTCATTCTGCTTGGTTCCACGGCGGATACCGATGATCCCCCGAACCTGTCAGGTGTTATCAACTAGGAGCCGATCAGGGAAATAAGTCACCCACTCAAAACTGCTCGCGGACTATATTTGTTGGCGGAGGATTACAAAAAGGTGAAGGCGCTTATTTGGTTAAGAAAAAACGTCAGAAAAGTTAACAAAATATATATGTTTTTAATGTTTTTGTTTTTTTTTATATATATATTTAATTGTATTTCCGATTTAAGGTGATAATATTCTAACGGATTACTTCCAGAAACCGTTAATAAATAAAGGAATAAATAAATATGTTAAACTTGATCAAATCGGACCACTTTTACCAGTGGTTAGAAATGTCAACACTGCCACCTAGAGGTTAAAGACATAAACTGCGTTTAAAACCATCTCTGTTATACCCATCAGAATATTATGGAAGACCGTTTCCACCACATGAAAATAAAAAAATGCAAAATAGAAAGTCATAATTAGGAGATTCAAAGACATAATTTTGACTTTCAGTCATAATAATGAGATATTCGACTTTTAAACTTTGTATTTTTATAATTACGTTTTTAAAACATGAAATTCTGACTTTGAATCTCATAATTATGACTTTGTTTCTCATTACTATGACTTGGAAACTTGAAATTATGACTTTGACTTTCATAATTATGACTGAAAGTAAAAAAATTGTACTTCTTATCTAATAATTATGACTTTGTTTCTTTCATGAGGTGGAAACAGGCTTCCTTAGAATATGGAGAATGACGAGTGCCACAATACAAAAAAAATAACTCGTGGAATGGTTATTTAAACATATTAATGAATTATTAAGAATTGAAATAAATACAGAAATGTATTTATTTATTTATTGTACTGGTCACCCTCCATATAAGACCTTTTGTCACTTTAAAGCTGATATGTTGAGACAGTTTTGAAATGTTGGGTATTTTTTACTTTTGTCGGGTATTTTTTTTTTACTTTTTTATATCTTACAGTAATATCTTAGATTTAAACCCTCCTAATTCTGTTCTCTGGAGACGTTCAGCATGTTCGGGCCTTTAAAAGAAAATTATGTGATGATCTATAAGCCCAAAACAGTTAGTTTTTTATGCTATTCCACCCGCTGTTATAATGTTATTTAAAGGTCAGACTTCCCTGTCCTCTCAAGGCCCGAGCCCTCTACCTGATCCAACTGATACTTATGTGAGTAGACGGTGTTTTCAACCAAAATCTTCTAAAAATAACAAACACATTCACTCTTTATTCCAAGATGACTGCATTTCAGTTGCTTATGTTCAATCTGGTCTGGTCTGATCTCAGAAGTATGTTGGAACAAACCATGGTCTCTACCCAATAAGTATCTTCTAGTAAACAAGGTTAAAGAGGTTTCCTTTAAGATTATTCATCGCTGTTACCTGGTTAAGTCATTTTTCATTAAATATAAAAAGGATATTGATACCACCTGCACTTTCTGTAACAGTTACTCTGAGTTTGTCTCTCACCTGTTTTAGTCCTGAGAATACACCAGGCGTCTATGGCAAGGTGTTTGTCGCTTTATTCTAGACAACATTTACGACAAATTTGAACTTTATTTTCAGGATTTTTTATTTGGAATTACAGGATATATAAAATAACTGTCTGACCATTTCTTTTTATGTAATCTGTTGCTTCTGTGGGCCAAATTGTATACCCATAAATGTAAAATTACTATGACTAGACCCTCATGTATTTCTTTCTTAAAGGGAGCAACAGTTTATTTATCTACATTATCCTCTTCAATAACAAAAAGGCTGTTAAAACTTTATCTCTATGCTCAAAATTCAAAATATTTATGTAATCCCCTTATGTGCTTCTATCTTCACTTTACTATTTTTATGTTTATTCAGGTATTTTTTTTTATCTATTATTACTATTTGTGTTCAAACCCCTGGCGATTGTTCCCTTGGAAATTGTACTTATATCTTCTTGTAGTACAAAATTCTTTAATAAAGCTTAAAAAAAATCCATTATCTGAGGTCATTAACCATTTTCAGCTTTGTAACCTCTCTTATTATTATTATCTACTAAACACTCGGAATCAATTATTAGTGGTTATGTTTGTAAATGATAAAGTAAAGTCAAACTTAGACAATAAAACTCAAAAAACGACAAACCATTAACATAGATCTCTACCCGTTAATGTAATACAACAGGAAACGGGAATATTCGAGAGCTAGCTTTCAAAGATGCTCCAATTAATAACGTTGATTGTTGAATTTATTTTGTCATTATTGTTTTACTTACAGTAGTTCTTCTCCTATTTTTGAACCATAGAAAAAGCTTCGATGTTTAATAATCATACATCAGAGCAGGTGAATTAGTAAATTTACCGATATAAGCTAACGATAAAGGGAGGACTTTCAAAATAAAAGCGGAAGGATTTTAGGAGAACAGGATATTTTAATCATACAGGTGCTGGTCATAAAATTAGAATATCATGAAAAAGTAGATTGATTTCAGTAATTCCATTTAAAAAGTGAAACTTGTATATTATATTCATACATTACATACAAACTCATATATTTCAGATGTTTATTTTGTTTAATTTTGATGATTACAAATGACAAATGAAAATCTCAAATTCATCATATCAGAAAATTAGAATATTACTGAAGACCAATAAAAACAAAGGATTTATAGAAATGTTGGCCAACTGAAAAGTATGAACATGAAAAGTATGAGCATGTACAGCACTCAGTATTTAGTTGGGCCTCCTTTGGCCTGTATTACTGCAGCAATGCGGCGTGGCATGGAGTCGATCAGTCTGTGGCACTGCTCAGGTGTTATGATAGCCCAGGTTGCTCTAATAGTGGCTTTTAGCTCTTCTGAATTGTTGGGTCTGGTGTATTGCATCTTCTTCTTCACAATACCCCATAGATTTTCTATGGGGTTAAGGTCAGGAGAGTTTGCTGGCCAATTAAGAACAGGGATACCATGGTCCTTCAACCAGGTACTGGTAGCTTTGGCACTGTGTGCAGGTGCCAAGTCCTGTTGGAAAATGAAATCTGCATCTCCAAAAAGTTGGTCAGCTGCAGGAAGCATGAAGTGCTCTAAAACTTCCTGGTATGTGGCTGCGTTGACCCTGGACCTCAGAAAACACAATGGACCAACACCAGCAGATGACATGGCACCCCAAACCATCACTGACTGTGGAAACTTTACACTGGACTTCAAGCAACGTGGATGAAGTGCCTCTCTTCTTTTCCTCCAGACTCTGGGACCTTGATTTCCAAAGGAAATGCAAAATTTACTTTCATCAGAGAACATGACTTTGGACCACTCACCAGCAGTCCAGTCCTGTTTCTCTTTAGACGCTTCTGACGCTGTCTGTGGTTCAAGAGTGGCTTGACACAAGGAATGCGACAGCAGAAACCCATGTCTTTCATACGTCTGTGTGTGGTGGTTCTTGAAGCACTCACTCCAGCTGCAGTCCACTCTTTGTGAATCTCCCCCACATTTTTGAATGGGTTTTGTTTCACAATCCTCTCCAGGGTGCGGTTATCTCTCTTGCTTGTACACTTTTTTCGACCACATCTTTTCCTTCCCTTCGCCTCTCTATTAATGTGCTTGGACACTGAGCTCTGTGAACAGCCAGCCTCTTTAGCGATGACCTTTTGTGTCTTGCCCTCCTTGTGCAAGGTGTCGATGGTCGTCTTTTGGACAACTGTCAAGTCAGCAGTCTTCCCCATGATTGTGTAGCCTATAGAACTAGACTGAAAGACCATTTAAAGGCTTTTGCAGGTGGTTTGAGTTAATTAGCTGATTAGAGTGTGGCACCAGGGGCCATCAATTTTGAACCTTTTCACAATATTCTAATTTTCTGATATGATGAATTTGAGATTTTCATTTGTTGTCATTTGTAATCATCAAAATTAAACAAAATAAACATCTGAAATATATGAGTTTGTATGTAATGTATGAATATAATATACAAGTATCACTTTTTAAATGGAATTACTGAAATCAATCTACTTTTTCATGATATTCTAATTTTATGACCAGCACCTGTAAATCATCGTTAATTAATTTTCCGTGTATAAAATTGCGTCCAGGTGTTGAAAAAAACCTTTAAGATAAAACTTCCTCTAGTTTGGATGTCCAGAAGCGTTTTTATGCGAAACTCACATTTATTTTGAAAACTTAAGAAGGAAATGAGCGCGCTAACGGTTCCGAACATGACGCCAGTGATGCGGTCAGACCGCAGGGACTGACCCGGGTACCGACCGAGAGGAGCGGTGCTACAGGACCGCTGTCTGTCGGTTTATCCAAACAAAGACACGAAATGATGGCTGCTGTTCCCGGGCAGTGCTGGAACAGCAGCGGCGGAAAAAACAGCTCCGTTCTCGGTGTGAATGCGGGAATTTAACCGCTGACGAAGACAAGCCGTCGGGCTCCTGTTCCTCTCCATCTCCTCCATCTTGGATGTTAGTGATGATGGAGCACATCCGGACTCCAAAGGTAAACGCGGACATTCCTCTGTTTCCTCTTTTTGTTTTTAGTCTTTGTCTTTTCTCACTTTACCTTCTGCTTGGAGGACATTTGATCTGTTAACCTGCCAGATCCTGACATTAGTCTGTTCAGGGTCATGGTTCCTTTAATTATTTAAGGAATATTATGGAACATGATGAGAATTTAAAACGCTGTCCGACAATGGATTCATAGGGGGGGTAAAATGGGAATATCCATGTCTCAGATGGGATCTGGGCACTTCCGGTTCTTCTGTAACAGATATCCCATAATCTGTCCATCCATTCCATTATGAGCTCTTGTTAGATGATGATGATGATGATGGTCTATGGCTTTTGTTCCACTGTTGTTCAGTCTGCTTCTGATCCATGTTTACTCTATGATCTCAACCAACCAATCAATGTTTGTGCTCCTCAGGTGGAAAATGTCCGTCTCTTGGACCGGTCAGCAGGCCAGAGGAAAGCCAGTGCGGTGACCCTCTACCTGTCCTCCACCCACACCATCTTTGTTGAGAACAATCCTGAGACACGCAAAGAAACCTGGGTAAGACCCTAATCAGCTGTTTATTTTTTGTGTTGTTTTTTTTTTTTTAAACCATCATATTCCAGTTTAGGTTGATGTGTTCCATCACCCTAAATATGATTCGGATAAATCCTTGTTGTAAACGTAAGGAGCCAATTTTAAATTCGTACCTTCAGGCTGTGATTGCTGACCTGCTTCTCTGTCTGTCAGGCTGCAGAAGGTTCAAATCTCAAACATCCAGACCTGTTTAGACAGAGCGACGATCCTCAGGGGAACCAGCGAAGAGGCTGAGAGGTTCCATTGACCTCTGGATAACAGAGGTCATATAGAGCGCTGCTGTCAGAAAAAAAAAACCCATAAGTAACATGTTCTTTCTCTACATATAAGCATCACTAATGCTACGCCCAGATGTAGCATTCAGGAGTTAAACAGATGGAAGAAGAGGAAATGTGGGACATTTTCTAAAAGGAAAACTGGAATCCTTAACAGGAACCAGACCTAAGTCCCTCAGATCGGCTAGTTCTCCGAAATGTGGCGCGATTGTTCTGTTCTTCTCATGCTTCATTCTAAATCCAGACCTCCACGTCACACAGCAACATGTCAGCCATATGAGGGTTAACAGTAGACTTTAGCGAGTGTTTTTAATCAAATGGACGAACGCTCGAGGAATCCACTATGGACTGCTGCGTCCTTCCTCTCCTACAGGAGCTGGAGGTTCCCATCCCTCTAGACCTGACTAGATGATGAAGATGTCATTTTTATTGTTTTTCTCTGGTGCTTTTTACTTCAACAGGAAGTGAGTTTTCCTCTATGGGGTCATAGGACGGATGACGCTGCGCCTGCTGATCCGTATCACCAACTTCTTGTTTTTTTTACAGATCAACAGTCATGCTGACTGGAGATGCGGAAGTGTTTTCCATGCTGAGTCTGACTGTGTTTGTGTTTCAGGTTCTGCACAGCATGGTGTGCAGCGTGGAGAGGCCGCCCACCACGCCCGCTGGAAGCCAGCTCATCCTTCGCTGCAAAGACTTCCGCGTCTACCAGGTCCTCATCCCACAGGAGAGAGACTGTGTGGACGTCCACGCCTCGTTGGTCCGGTTGTCTCGACCAGGTGTTTGTTTGTTTCAGGATAGCAAGACTCTAAAGCTTTTTAGATTTTTTTTATTGTTTTGACTCTGGTTCAACTTTAACCTTTGTTCTCAGTGCAAACATGTATCTAAAAATAGTTATTAAAATAAGATCATTAGAATTGATGCATTTAAAATAAGCTAATGAGTTTCTTTTACCTCTTCTAAACGTTAAGCATCTTATATTGTGGCTGAATTGTCTTAAATACCCGTCTAAATCAAGGCAACATATATTCGTTTGAAGAGAAATTGACTTGGTTATGTTTCAGTTTTTGCATTGAACTGAAATGCTCAAGTTCTGGACACACTGCAAAAAACAAAAAAAACAAAAAACGTTAATATCCCTTTGATTTGAGCAGGTAATCCACTCAATAGCTGTGGAAATAGTTTTTACTGTGATTTTTGAAAGCATGTTTTTTTATCCTTGACTGGTGGATAAAAAAAGTTCCAAATGCAGTACAATAGTGATAATAGTTGGAAGTCAAAATAACTTGCCATTGGTGTGTTTTCTATATATATTCATATATAGGCATTGAATTTAGTTTGATTATTGATGCAAATTTTTATAAATTGAAATGTATAAAAGAAAACAAACAGGATTTTCTCTTCCTGGATGAGCATTTAGAGACTGTAGATATTGGGCTGTTGACGGTATAGAAATCCCTCACACAGCGCATGCATGCAGTGACAGTTGAGAGGAAAACCTCCACCAGAACCAGGCTCGGTATGAGCGGCCCTCTGCCGAGGCTGACTGGGGTTCAAGGAGACAGAAGCAGGCGTACAAAAGAAACATAAAAGCAGTGATCTGTGTTAGAAAAGCTAACGATAAACTAGCTCCACTTGTGGCTCTGTCAGCGAAAGAAAAAGTTAATCAGACGAGCTCTGAGCCAGTTTTTAAGTCATAAAAGAAACAAACAGCAAAAGCTGAACCCATAGTTATAGGAGAGATACAGGCCTAAAAACTATAAAAGAGGCCCAACTAATAGCAGCCCTGCTAATATTTCTCTCCAGGATGGAGTCGCAATCATTGACCATTCCATTGGCAGATCATCATATTAAAGGGATCATAGAATGATTCTATAGGGTATCTGGTGCTGGTCCTTATGGTCTCTGAATAGGGTGTGTAACATTGGTTGGGCTGAAAATGCATATTTGCTGTTCTATGAGCCCTAATGCAGCCCTAAAACGAAACGACAAGTTTTCTTTCTTTTATGGTATGCTCATCAATATTTAGATGAGCTGTGCGCTGATTGGTTGGTTTACAAAGAGCGAAGCTGCTGAGCAAAGAAGCATCATAGCAACAAGCACTCACTCACTGAAACATCAAATTGTTTATATGGTAGGGTGACCAGACGTCCTCCTTTTCTCGGACATCCTACTTTTTATACCTAAAAAAAATTATCGGTGGGAATTTCAAAAGGTTCCTGCACCGTGCTCCATACACAAACACTTCATCATTCTTCCCCCTTACTAGACGTGAACTTATTTTAGTATATTCTGCTGTTAAATGAGTCTTAAATTTTTGTTTTTTACTGGAGGATTCAAGCTATTTTAAAGGATGCACAGCTTTGAGTGGTAACTAGGTGACTGTAAGAGAGTAAACCGAAATTTATTGGCTTATTTTTCTGACTAATCCAATCAGCACGCTCTCTGACAACCAGTCGCCTGGAACGCTCGATGAACAGAGCATCACTTTGGAAAGATACGCACAGGTTTCACAAGCAACCTCCTCCCCACATCACGCTCTCTCTTGTTGTGCCTGCGCAATCGCAGTTCTAATCCACACATGATGCACAGATTATTGTATTGCCTGTGCAACACCACCTCGCATTGTATAAAATCTTGGACAATTTATCTGACTCGCGGGGATCCGTGAATGACTATCTATATCAAGGAGACTCCCGGGAGACTTGGGATGTCTGTTACCAGCCCCCAGCCCCCCTCCTTCACCTGTTTTATGGTGGAAGTTTAGAATAGTGAGATTTGCAGAGAAAGGAGCCGTCGATGGGGTTTGAACTTCTCTGTACGTCCATTTCACCCACTGAACTATCGTTATTCATCTATGACAATGGAAACTCGGTTTTTCATTCTATGACCCCTTTAAGTTTCTTTAATTAAGGGCAAATCCAGTTATTTTTAGATCAGGTTTTGCAGTGTTTGAATGTTTGTTCAGCTTCCTCACTCTTTTGAATGTTTGAAAAAACGAAGTTAAACTTTTATTTTTCAAAACAAAAAAGTAAAACTCTCTCAGAGTCAAATGGGCAGGTGACAAAGACCACTTGAAAACCTCCCAGTAACATCTGTCTGACTGAAAGAACTTGGAGCAGGATTGATCCCAGATCTTCTTTCCTCCATCAGAGAAGTACAGCGAGCTGTACTGCCTGTCCTTCAACCCCAACGTCAATAAAGAGGAGCGCGAGGAATCCTGGAGCTTCATCGACTTGAAGGCCGACTACAAGAGGATGGGTGTTCCCAACAACCTGTGGGTTTCCACGGCAGCCAACAGCGAATACCGGGTCAGTGTGAGTCACACAGATGATTTAGGTGGCGGTAGTTTCAAGGCGGGAATGGGGGAAACATGAGAACAGAACTGAGCTGTGTTTGTGCTGCAGGATCAGACGGGAGCAGATTCAGATGCTGTTCTTAGGCAGCAGCTGGAGGAGTCTAGGATCAGAGATGGTTGGTCAAGAAACAGGATTTAAAAGCTTGTAGAGAAGTTTCTAGAATTAGTTCATCTTAATATTTTTTTTTTTGGGGGGGGGGGGGGGGGTTCTGATGGATTAGAAGCTTTATCTAAACTAGAAATCCACCAATACTGGTTTTTCAATGATCGTTACTAATGATCACGTGATGGTACAGGATTAAAAAGGTCACCAGGAGCAGTCAGAGCCGGAGCCTGTATTGGTTCAGAAATTCACTGCACCAATAAAATAATTAATAAACGTAACAGTGGGCAATATGAGGCCGTATATGCAACCCATTGGTTAATTCAGGGGCAGATAGGCTGACCGTCTCTATGCGGATGAAGCAAAATGTGCAGAAAAATATGGATATATTTAAGGGAAAAAGTGCAATAGCGCAGGCAGAACCGTCAGCACCAGAGCAGACTGTTGGGTGATAAACAGCAGAGGAGGAGGAGTTTATTTATAAAATCGAATAATTATATATTATATTACACTTTGAATAAAGTCTTTTTTAAATTACATTTAAATAAAAAGCTAAATTTTTTATTTTTTTCTTATTTGGACATTTAATTTCGTATTTTACAATTTGTTTTTTAGATATATTCACATTCTTGTAGGGTTTCCACCACATGTGGCCTCAACCCAGCAAGATAAACCCACCATAATTTCACAATGAATAAAAAGTATTTTTTTTTTTATGTAAAGCATATCTTAATGTTTATTTGTGCATTTATTATAATCCTAATCTGAGTTTAAAAATGAAACGATTTAAATTAAAACAGCGGGAGACAAATTCAGTGACTTTTCTCTGTATCTTCGGCGAGTTTGGCAACAGCAGTGGTTCTCGTCCTGCTTCCCTGAGCGCTGTCTTACAGGCAGTCAGCGCAAAGAGGGCAGACAGGAGACCTGCTTCGTTTCCCACAGCTGATTTAGAAAACAAACGGTGCTGGTGTTTCTGACCTGTATTACAAAGCAGGTTATAAATATAACATAAATACATTGCTCACTAAGTCAAGTCTCTTGATTTTAAACTGGTCTTTCAATTATAAATGCATGCATTATTTATTCCATAAAATGAGGCTTGACATTTTTCTTTATAACAACATATTAAAGACAGTGATGTAGGTGATTTTTATATTTTTGATTTAGATGCAGATAACTCCCCCTCCCTCAGCCAACCATCACGTTCAGGTCTTTCATTCTATTGATTGTGAAACACCCCCACTGTTTCACTGTTGTGAGATCCAACCTTACCTGATCAGACATATTTCTGGTTCTCTGATGATGATTTAACCTAGAAGATGAGCTAAAGCAGAACATTTAAGGTCTAGCGCCCCTAGTGGCTAAAAGTTATACAATGTTTCTTTAATAAAGCGGGAACTGAACTTTGCTTCCCAAACAAAAGGAAAAAAGAGCTGCTTGGTCAGCCTCTACTTGTTCAGAACCAATCAAACTCGGTTTTATTTATTCCAGAACCATAAATGAATGTGTAGGAAGGAAACCCAACACGTTTCTATTGGCTGTGTAACCCAGGCTTTCCCTCTTTAACCTGCAACTGGTGGAAGACACCCTATGGACTCTGCGTTGGAATCAGACACAGGGCTCTTAGTTGTGGGGAGACCTTGGCGCGTTTATTTTGTCCACCTTTCAGGCAGTAAAACACACTGTCAGCAACCGTTTTTCTTTCTTTTTTACAAAATAATCAAACATCACCAGTACAAAATGTAATGTTTACTTAACTGGCAAACTAAACAAACAGAAATAGCTCAGTATATTAGTGTAATGTATATTTTATATTACTGCTTACCTTACAGGCAGTAAAACACACTAAGAAATACGGCAGTTCCTGTACAAAAATCCCCTGTACTACAGCGTCCCCAACAGGAAATACATGTTAGAACTGTAGTAGCTGTTTTATAGGTTTCCAGGGAGACGTTAAACAACATTTATTCATTACTTTGGAAAAAACAAATATTATTACCCCTTAATTACAGGTCTATGTTCCTCGTAACTTTCTGCACAACTCTTATCCAACAACAAGCAGAGACCCATCAGCTACTGATGAATGCATCTTCATCATCATCACTCGGAACATGTTTTCCACGCTTTCCTCTGGTTGGAAAGCAAACGTCTCTCTGGACAAACCTGTTTTGTCACCATAGAAACTGAATTGCTAGCATGACAGTAAATTTCAACGTTGGAAGATATCAGCTCCACTTTTATCTGTATACAGATGAATGATGGTTCTGTCTGCTGTTGCAGTACCGTCCAGAATGTTTCTGAGGTCCAGACACTCAGAGCAGCTGTGCTTTTTTTTTTCCTGCAGGTGTGCGACACGTACCCCGCTGAGCTGTTTGTGCCCAAGTCGGCCACGCCAGCAGTCATCGTGGGCAGCTCCAGGTTCAGGAGCCGAGGACGGTTTCCTGCTCTGTCCTACTTCCACCAGGATACATTGGTCAGTGTCAGACACATGATGCCTCTCTCTCCTAACAGGGACTTCACATCGACTTCCACTCATTCTCCTTTTCTATGCCCTAACCAACCATTACCAGTACATACCTAACCCCAAAACTAACCTCTGGTCACAGGCAAAATCGGTCAGTGGGAATGCGAAAAGAAGGATTTTTCTTTTTATTCTTCCTCTCAGATGTAAACACAGGAGCATGGCAGGGATACAATGAGTGAAATGCAGCTCTGTCTGTAAAAGTGACAGACCGTATTAGCTACGTTTGCTCAGCCACGTCTTTTTTCCAAATACGTCCTCGCCTTTTCTTTTTTGGGCTTTCAGCACAAAATTGCACAAATTGCCAAGGCAGCGCGTTTCACTCTAGTGAGCTTAATATTCCTCTTCTATTTGTTTGGCTTCAGGATAGACGAATCAGAGCAGCTCCATCTCACTGCGGAGCTGAGTCCGACGTGGTTTTTTGTCGTACAGTGTGAGCAGGTAGATCGCATCAGAGCGTCGGGCCGAACATAAATCATGAGCTGTGAACTCGCACTGTACGACGAAACCCTGTGTTTCGTCGTACAGTGCGGGCAGTAGCTGCGTGCAACGATTGAACAAAATCGGAGAGTGTATGCCCAGCTTTACGGGTCTCTGATGTGTTATACTGCCTCTACAGGCGGCAGTGTGTCGTTGCAGTCAGCCGCTCTCAGGCTTCAGCGGCCGCTGTCAGGAGGATGAGATGATGCTGCAGGCGGTGATGAAGTCCAACCCAGGAAGTGACTTCATCTACGTGGTGGACACCAGGCCAAAGGTAGGACTCTGACCCACACTGACCAAAACCGACCCAAAGTTACAGCCGGACCATGACCTCCAATGCAATTATTATTTATTTTACGTTTTTCAGTATTGTGATTTTAATGTGATTTCCCTTCTACACCAATTGTTCTCAAAGTGGGGGTCAGGAACCCCCCTTACTAACGTGATCCTGACGTAATTGACTTTTTAGAACGATGATCACTACTTTTCGCTCCCCGTTGGTCACATGACTCCGGCTCCCTGTACGGAGTCTGCACCGTCACTGTTGTCTCTTGCCCCCAAAATGAATGACCAAGATGCTTTGCAAACAGAGCTCTAGCAAAGCATACTGGGATATATCTGTTCGTCCAGTGACCATAGATGGTAGGTATCTTTTCAAGGAGCATTGTGGGATATTTTGTGTCCGATATTTTTTCCCACCACTAGGGTTGTCACGATACTAAACTTTTCAACTCGATACCGATACTAAGGAAAATATTCGATACTTGATACCAATTTCGATACCACAAGGATAAAAGCAAAGACTCCAAAATTCTACAGAAATATTTTCATTAATAAATAAAATACAATAAAGGTTGTATGCTGTGCACAATATTAAGCAAGCTTGATAAAAAACATATAAAATTAAAATTAAGTGTTCCTTCCTTGGCTATGCTTTGCACACATAACAATGGCACTAGCCAAACCAGTTATGGAACAAAAATAATTCTCAGCAGCTTCACTGCTTACAAAAAAATGTCTGAAACTGAAAAGAGCACAGAATTATTCAATCACACAGTGTTCTGAAAGTGCATTGTCCTCTATTCTGCACTTTAGATGATTGACTGCTTAGGTGCCACTGGTGGTAGCACTGTATCGATACTTTTAAAAACGAGTATTGTATCCGGATACAACATTTCAGTATCGATACTTTTTTGAGTATCAATACTTTTGACAACCCTACCCACCACTAGATGTTTTCAGATTCAGCACTATATGGTGCTCTATGTATGGTTTAGCGCGGACGTTCGGACACAGTTAGTAAGAAGCAGCCAATCAGACCTCAGGGTTTCTATGGAAGCAGTCCTGAATCTGATGAGTAAAGTAGTTAATTTCATGATCTGCAGCTGCCATGAAGTAGATAAATTAATACAAAATGAAATAACATGTTAATAAGTTTGTTTTTTAAATGATGTTTCATGTCATAATTTAAAACGTATATTATTTAATTAATAGCACATTAAATTATTTATATCTACATTTCCTAATTTAATCTAACTTTGTTTTAACTTTATTAATCTCACATTGGAGAAATTTACCTCTGCATTTAACCTCTTTGGGGAGGAGTGGGCTGCCACTGTGCGGCGCCGGGGACAGTTTGGGGTTAAGGGTCTTTGCTCAGAGACCCGGAGTGGCACTCTGTGGGAGTGGGGCTCGAACTCAGAACATCTGGATTCCAAGCTCTATGCCCTAACCACTAGGCTGCCACACCCCCTCAAATTTAATTGTCTCATGATGTATTGAATAACTCAATTATACATTTGGTTTTAAATTTTGTCATTTGACATAAAATAATGGTATATATTGATACATTTAATTAATAATTGTTAAATTTCTGTACTTTTATCTATTTATTTCATAATACATTTAAATGCATTTATGTATTTAATTTTGTCCTCTTTAACCTTCCGTATTTAAAGGTATTGTGGAGGATTTTCCCAGACCTGTCCTCTCCATTTAAAAAAAAATGCACAACATGCACAACATTGTACCCTTTTTCCCGAGAGGGAATGCTTATTAAATGCGTGCGAGGAGAAATGGGCTCGTGCACGCTCTCTTAAAAGTTGCTGTTCTTATAGCTCATACAATCTTACTGTGTCCAAACGTCTGCCCTAACGTCTAAATCCCTCAATCACTATTGGTCACATAACTCCTCCTCCACTGCGTGTGTCTACGGCATCTTTGGTATTAGTCACCGCTGTCGGGTAGCAGCAGCCTATGGCGACTGCGGACCGCTGTAACAGCAAATCCAGTAATGCTTTACGAGGAGAGCTCTCTGCAACCCTCTGCCATTTTCAAAGATCCACTGTGAGAAATGTGAGCTTTAGGGATTGTCTGAAACTATAGCTCCGAGCTCATTTACGCCTGAAAGTGCGCACGCACAGAAAAAGATCGCTAACGGTACGAGCACGTAGGACGGCCTAACGCAAACATATCACCAGAATGATTGACACTTAGGAGGAGCACTTATTTAGATGATCTACCCTGAAATAATAGATCGTCCTATATACCCTTAATGCTTCCTTTCCCCTGACCAAAGGCGTTCGCTCCTGGGTTTTATGTTTTTGTGGCTTTTAAGGCTAATTTTTCCAGAACCCATTGTTGCTGAACATGTTTACCTTCACTGTTGAGTGCTAAAAGTTTTACATCTGCACGCATTCAGTGGCAGAATATAAGTTTATCGTCGCCACCAAAAGGCCTAAAGTGAGAAAATATGCGTCATACTTTTGTTGAATGTAACATCACCAATGATTCGAGTTTTGTGATTAGGGCTTTATGATCTTTAAAGGAGCAACTATATTCCAATTAGAACTGATTAACTGGAATCAATTGGATTGGTTGATCAGTCTTTATTTTGATTAGTCAATAAATAATCAGATAGCAAAGGTTCACTAAGGATGATGTTATACTGAGTTTAAACCAGGTGAAGCATTTTTTCAGTCTCTATATTCTAGTTAACGATTATTCAATGACGAAATTAGTTGACGATTATTTTAATACTCGATTAATTTTTTCAGTCATAATTCCAATTGATTATTGTGTTCGCAGCTGAACGCCATGGCGAACAGAGCAGCAGGTAAAGGCTATGAGAACGAGGACCATTACACCAACATCAAGCTGCACTTCATTGGCATTGAGAACATCCACGTGATGAGAAGCAGCCAGCAGAAGATCATCGACGGTCCGTTCAGTTTCTGGTTGAGTGGTTCTATGATACCTGAGGTGGTAAAATGCTGCCCCCTGCTGGTCCTCATGTATCATCCTCTTTCCTCCTGCAGTTTTTGAGATGCGCACTCCGTCCATGACCGACTTCCTGTGGGGGCTGGAGAACTCTGGTTGGCTCAAACACATTAAAGCCATTCTGGATGCTGGAGTCTTCATTGCAAGGGTTCGTATGAATGCAGAGTGAAGCCAACAGCTCCGTTAAACCTGGAACCGACTGATCAAATTCGGTTTCAGCGTCTCGGAAAGAATCCACTCCTTAAAACGACAATAAAACCAACATCATGAACAGTGAAGAACCTGCATAAGGGTTAGGGAGGAGATTCTAGAGACATTTAAAGCAGAGTTAGCTTCTAAAACATTCCCTCCAAAGCTCCGCTCAACTAGGATGGCACGATAGACGCCCTGCAGACCTAGAAACACATGGATCTCCACCTACACTGTGCATGGAAACCTGTTCGAGGCTGCAGAAACCCTGAGACTTCGGTGGAGGTTCACATTCTAGCTGGAGAATCAGCCTGAACATTCAGCCCGATACAAAAATGTCCTAGTCAAAGTCCAGACCTGAATCTGGACTTTGAGTAAATGTAGTAGGACATGGGAACTGGTGTTCTTAGCAAAGAAGAATGAGGAAAACAGAGCATGTGCTTTTTCTCCAAGTTTTTAAAACCTCCAGCTTTCCATATTTATAGAAGCAAGGAACAACTTCCAGAGGTTTTTGCAGATGTGTCCCCCCTGTGACGACCGGTTGAAAGGTCACCATTAGTGTGCACATGCATGGGAGAAGAGAAAAAAGTCTGTTGCTGAAACTCTCCTGTGTTTATTTTAGAGGCATAACATCATCTGAGGAAAGAAGGTATTTAGGTTTTATTAACGGAGCATTTAGATAAGTTAGGAGCTCTGGAAATCAGAAGAATCTGGACTGAAAAGCTTGTAACATCCCAGAGTTTTTTTGGGTCTCATAACCAGTTCCACTTCCTGGTTCTGACTCGGTCATCGACCTTCTCCGTCTGTCCAGGCGGTGGCCGACGAAGGTGTCAGCGTTCTGGTTCACTGCTCAGACGGATGGGACAGGACGGCCCAGGCGTGTTCGGTGGCCAGTATCCTGCTGGACCCGTTCTACAGAACCATCAAAGGGTTCATGGTAACGTACAAACATCCGGGTAGAAATCAGAGCTCTCTCTGAAAGTCTCTGAGTTCCTTCTCTTCCTCCTCCAGGTGCTGATAGAGAGGGACTGGGTTTCCTTTGGACACAAGTTCTCACACAGGTCAGTGAGAGGAACCCTGATGGCATCAGGCGGTTTCTGTTCAACATCAACCATCAGACGTCGCTGGTTGAAGAACATAAAAACAATCTTTGTTCATCTACAATAAAAAAACAACAACATTTTATTTCGATAAAACAGGATTTAGCGTCCGTTCTCCACCAGCAGGTTGATTTCTGAGTACTTCTAGAGATGTTGTTGAAGGAAGAGTCAGCAGAAGCTCCTCCCCCTCTGCAGGTATGCCCACCTGGATGGAGATCCTAAAGAGGTGTCCCCCGTCATGGACCAGTTCCTGGAGTGTGTGTGGCAGCTCTCTGAGCAGTTTCCATGTGCCTTCGAGTTCAACGAGCGTTTCCTCATCACCGTCCACACGCACGTGTACTCCTGTCAGTACGGGACCTTCCTGGGGAACAGTGAAAAGGAGCGTCGGGACATGAGGTACGGATCAGGGAGGGCGCAGCAATCCCATACGCAGGACCGCGTCCGTCCGCTGCTACGTTCGTGATGTCATGATGTTTCCGTTGTTTTATCCCCAGGCTGCTTGAGCGCTGCCACTCTGTGTGGCCTCAGCTGTGGAAGGACAGATCCCAGTACACCAACCCGCTGTATAAGGCCGAGCTGAGCCAGAGTCAGGGCATCCTGAGGCCCAACACCACTCCCTACTGCTTCAAGTGAGGAACTGCAGCTTTGGTCTCTGAATGTCTGTTAGAAATTAAACAAGCTGTTCGGGAAAAGCTACTAGGGTTAGATTCTTCAGTGTTTCTATTCCTGCATCACATATATTAATAAATAAAAAAAAAAAACAATTCTATCATCTTACTTTAAATGCATAATATTTAATTATCTTATTTGAAATGTTTTATTCCAGCATCAAAATCTTCATATAGAAGGTGAGTTATGGTAATTGGGGGAGTGGCGGCCTAGAGCTTAGAATCCTAAGGTTCTATGTTTGAGCCCCACTCCCACAGACTGCCACTCTGGGTCCCTGAGCAAGACCCTTAACCCCACACTGCTCCCCGGGCGCCACACAATGGCAGCCCACTGCTCCCAAAGAGGATGGGTTACATGCAGAGAGTTAATTTTGTTGCTCTTTGTGACAGTATAATGACAATAAAACCTGGAAACAAAAACAGAAGTCATACAATGCTCTTTGAGGAATCGACAATAGTTTGCTCAAGTTAACAGCTTCAACATCTCCAAACAGAGCCTCTGATATGCAATGAAAGCTACTGCCTCCTGAAGGCGCCTCACGGCCTACGGCCTATGCTACGTTCACACCGGACGCAGCAGAAGCTGCGAGTTTACATGCAAAGTCAATGGTTGACGCGCGTCAAGGAGCAGCAAAAGGTTCCGCGGCGCGTTTTGAGCAGCTGAAGCAGTCAGATGCTTAAACGCTCCTGACGCGCTGCTGCTCGAGATGGAAAAATTAAAGTTTTGCTGCTCGACGCGCCGCAACAACCTATCAGAGAAGCTGATCTGGGAGCTGGCAGGGAGACAAACACATAGCTGATGATACAGAGCGCTATGATCACTCCTCTGAAACAGTTTATTAACACCTAAATTAACTTAAAATGCTGAAACCTGCCAACGTGTTCGCTTTTATTATCCTGGTTCCTGCAGTTAGGATTATGTACATGAAAACCACCTTCTGACCCACTTTTTCACCGCACAGCCAGAGCAGCAAAGATGCTTCAGCCGCGCGTCAGAACTATACTGGTACAAGCGGCAAAAAGGAAGCAACTGACGCGATTTTGCTGCGTCCGGTGTGAACGCAGCATGATTCACTCCGCTCTGGCTTTGCACTGCCCACGGGCTACTAAGAGGAGGATGGTCGCGCCGGCTGCGGTCTGCTCTTCTTGCAGTCAAACACCGAGCAACTTTCTGTCTTAAATTGTTTCCGTGCACGATGTATTGCATTGCGCACTATTGGCATCAGTTTTAATAAAGTCAAAGGGGTTCCGAGACACTCGCAACCAGTTCACAACAGATACACATGAACCCTGGCTGTAGGCGTGACCACCTGTGTTTTTTTCCTAGATGACGCAATCACGTTAAGTGTTACAGCCAATCACCAAAACTTGGTACCGAAAGACGAGGCATGTTTCGAAACTCTGTAGAACCAAAGCATTTCAGTCGGTACCATAAAAAAACCGATGTTCGGCACCAAGCCCTAAAAATAACAATGCTGTACTACCTGTTTTTGTCGAGTGCAGATGGATTTTATGCTGAATTATACATGCTTGTTTTCACTTACAATAAGGTATGTGTTTTCTGTACATAATTGTGAACGTTACTCCGCTGCGTGCTAGCAGCGGGTAGTTTTTAATAGCGCATCCCACTGATTTCCATGGGGAGTCATAGCAGTAAAATCAAGTGTCTCTTGTGGCTCAGAAAAAAAACACACAAAAAATGAATATTCTGTTCTGCGAAAGGCAATTTTTCAATGTTTGCTTGAAGTTGACTTTGGATGAGATAAAAAAGAATCATATTTGACCTTCAAGGCCAGAAAGACTGATTCCAATGATGGGTCAGAATAAAGATTAAAACCTCAGTGACTGTGTTTGTCTCCAGGATGTGGAAGGGCCTCTATAACCATACAGAGAGGTCCAAGACTCCTAGACAGTCACCCGCCGACTTCCTGTCCACCGTCAGGGCGGAGTCCCAGCAGCTAGAGGAGGAGCTGACCAATCACCAGGAGGTACCGGCCGGAGGAGCCACCCACCACCCCGACCAAGGCATACAGCACACAAACACACCTTTGACTAGAACACTGTGACTGGCCAGGCTTTGCTCTGATGAACACAGAACATCAGTAACAGTCGGAACCAATGGGCTGAATTTGGACCAGCCTCAGGTTCTGACATGTTCTAATATTTAGACCTGTTAATATCCTGGACGTGTTCTAAGCCTCACACTGAGCTAAGAAACCTTTAAGAAGGTTTATCCCTTTATTTTACATTATTGAATTAGCTCCTTAAATGACCAGTTCATGACAAAACATCTCTGAGTTCCGTCAGCTGATAATAGAACGTCTTTGTTGTTCCGTCAGCTGATAATAGAACGTCTTTGTTGTTCCGTCAGCTGATGATGGAACGTATTTGTGGTTCCGTCAGCTGATGATGGAACGTATTTGTGGTTCCGTCAGCTGATGATGGAACGTCTTTGTGGTTCCGTCAGCTGATGATGGAACGTATTTGTGGTTCCGTCAGCTGATGATGGAACGTATTTGTTGTTCCGTCAGCTGATGATGGAACGTCTTTGTGGTTCCGTCAGCTGATGATGGAACGTATTTGTGGTTCCGTCAGCTGATGATGGAACGTATTTGTGGTTCCGTCAGCTGATGATAGAACGTCTTTGTGGTTCCGTCAGCTGATGATAGAACGTCTTTGTGGTCCCGTCAGCTGATTATAGAACGTCTTTGTGGTCCCGTCAGCTGATTATAGAACGTCTTTGTGGTTCCGCCAGCTGATGATAGAACGTCTTTGTGGTTCCGTCAGCTGATGATAGAACGTCTTTGTGGTTCAGTCAGCTGATGATAGAACGTCTTTGTGGTTCAGTCAGCTGATGATAGAACGTCTTTGTGGTTCAGTCAGCTGATGATAGAACGTCTTTGTGGTTCCGCCAGCTGATGATAGAACGTCTTTGTGGTTCAGTCAGCTGATGATAGAACGTCTTTGTGGTTCCGCCAGCTGATGATAGAACGTCTTTGTGGTTCCGTCAGCTGATGATGGAACGTCTTTGTGGTTCCGTCAGCTGATGATGGAACGTCTTTGTGGTTCCGCCAGCTGATGATGGAACGTCTTTGTGGTTCCGCCAGCTGATGATGGAACGTCTTTGTGGTTCCGTCAGCTGATGATAGAACGTCTTTGTGGTTCCGTCAGCTGATGATGGAACGTCTTTGTGGTTCCGTCAGCTGATGATGGAACGTCTTTGTGGTTCCGCCAGCTGATGATGGAACGTCTTTGTGGTTCCGTCAGCTGATGATAGAACGTCTTTGTGGTTCCGCCAGCTGATGATGGAACGTCTTTGTGGTTCCGTCAGCTGATGATAGAACGTCTTTGTGGTTCAGTCAGCTGATGATAGAACGTCTTTGTGGTTCAGTCAGCTGATGATAGAACGTCTTTGTGGTTCCGCCAGCTGATGATAGAACGTCTTTGTGGTTCAGTCAGCTGATGATAGAACGTATTTGTGGTTCCGTCAGCTGATGATGGAACGTCTTTATGGTTCCGTCAGCTGATAATAGAACGTCTTTATGGTTCTGTCAGCTGATAACAGAACATCTTTGTGGTTCTGTTCCCAGAGGATCGTGGCTCTCACGGGGAAACCAATCACATTGGAGAAGACGGAGGTTCCGAGGAGGAGAACTAGCCGCCTGCCGCAGAGACACAGCGGGCCGGACCCGCCCACCTTCTACTCAGAACCCAGCACGAACTCCTTACTTCAGAACAGTCGCCTGCACTCCTCTGAACTGGCCAATCAGAGGCCTCCACGTGGAGGCTCCGCCTCCTCCGGGCCGTCAGGGCAGCAGCTGAGGAGTCCGGATAGGGAGGACGTCTCTGCCTGCAGCGACCTGGAGTCAGGCGTGGCCGACCTCAGCAGCCGCTCGTCCTGCGGAGGAGACGATAACAAGGACCCGGAGCTGGAGTGAGGCTGGCCATGCTGCTGCCTGACAGAAATAAAGGGAACCCAGTCTGTTTAGACGGAGTGGGACGGCTGGCTCAGGCTAATAACAGACAGAACCAAACCGGTTGCAGGCCTCACATAAACTCATCAAGCAGCCATTTTTTGTTTACCTTCTGCACCGCTCCACGCAGGCGGCGTTTTGTTGGCAGATTCAGGATTTAAGTGATTTACTGTTTTTAAATAAACCACTGCAGGGCAGACAGGTGTCATGCTGCGGGCTACAAGAGGTAAGAGGAGAGACAAATGTACCTGGATCAATCTCCACGGCAACTGAGCAGGTTTTGTTGTTGTAAACCAGGTTCTGGGCCCAATCAAAAACAATCCTGATATTCAGGTTTAACGTCTCCCATTGGGTCCTACGTTCCTCTTTTTTTCCTCACTCCTCAAGATGTGAGGTTTTAGAGGCCGACTTACAGGACGTAGTCGGCCTCCTCCAACAATCAGAGCTGTAGTTGGCTTTACCGCATCCATAGAACCGAATGTGGGGAAAACAGAAGTTCTTTAAGCGATCCACAGAGACTTCACTCTGAAAATGTGAACAATTGAACGTTTACAGCAGACAGGTGGAACCCAGGGCTTCCTGCCACCTGGTTGGTCATTTTATTGCTTCTAATTTATTTATTTTTTTTAATTAAAAATCTCAATGGTTCTTTTCACGTTCATACATGAAGCAGGTAGAGGAGCTCCTGGGCGACGGACTTCTGGACCAAACCAAGCAGATTCTGATTATAGATCTATGTCTGCAGCTACATCTAAGAGTCTCCTTCTGCAGATCTAGATCATCTCTATAGCTGCAGATTTATGTCCCCCGCTTTCAGTCTTCAAATCTGCCTCCACAGCTCTATTTCTGCAGCTCTGTGTGTGCTAATCTACGTCTGCAGTTCTATACACGTATATCTAAAACCACTGCGAAGCCTGAATTTAAACAGTCATGTCTCCTTTAGGGTTCCATGCAGTCATTCTTCGTCTTCCCTAACCTCTCTTAGAACATTAGAACCTGTTCTCTGCTGCCTGTGGTATTTGTACAGTCAACATTGTGTATCTTTGATGTAAGTAATCAATAAAAGCTCTGATAAAGGCGAACAGCTGCAACGTCAAAACTTTGATCATCTACCGTAAATAAGTTGAAGCGAAGGAAAAAAAAAACTCCAGGGTGGCTGGAACTTCTAGAAACACGGATCCTCCTCAGTAGAGCAGCAGAGGCGGATCCCTGTCGGCCATCAGAGCCTAGGTGCAGCTGTGGCGTGTTGCCAGCAGACATAGTGACCTGTGTCACTCACTCAGGTCAGACCGTTCTGCCATTTTACTGAGAGCTCAGCTGATTCCCCTCAGATTAAAATACCTTTCTGCCTCCAGAATCCTTTAAAATATTTGAAATGTTTCATGTAACTGAAATGGTTCCTTTGTCTTTAGGTGTGCAGCAGAGTTGAAGCATCAGAGAGATGCCAAACCTGAAGGTTTCATTAATTTCACATCCATCTCTGAACTTTTAGGCTAATATATTTAAAACAGCAGCTTATTAACCCTTTAAAACCATTTGTATTATATTCGATACATGAGTTTTTAAGATCTTTGCATCATCATCAGTGTGATCTTGCTTATCTTAAAAACCCTGACTTGAACAGAAAACGTATATAATATTCTACAGAAATGCCGAATGTATCAGAATTGATGCAAATAAAAGATTTAATTGAACTTATACAAAATATATATATTCTTTTTCTTTCATTTTTCAGAGTTCAATGACAACTCTAAATAAAAAACATTGAATTTCTCTGTCAATTATTTCATGGTCCAGGCTTTAAAGGGTTAACAAATCCGATCAAAACGCTGTGACTGTTCCAACAGTTTTGAGTGATGACTGTCACATGTTCAAAGCGTTAAACATTTCTGTCTTTGTTTGAACGAATCAAAAGGTTCTGATAGGTCGGGGAAATGGGTGGGACTGTCTAGCACTGTGCTAAGCCGCTTCAGATCTTTATTTGCTGACTGGATGATTCAGTTAGTTAATGGAGGAAAAACCAGGTTGTTCAGAGAAAGTTCATATAAAAAAAAAATAGAAATTATAAAAAAGATTTGATTCAAAAATATTCATTCTAAACGGGAAATTGTAGTTCTTATTCATATTACAACACCTTTAATTTTTCTTTGGGATAATTAAAGTATTAGAGGCACCCAAATAAAGTCATTACCTTACGGGATTAAAGTCGTAACATTAGAAGAGTTAAGTAGTAATAGAACTAGAATATTTGGAGATTAAAGTAGCAGCCCACTTTGATTAGTCGTCTTACAATCACAACTTTAATATCACAAGTTAATTCTTTGAATATTATGATTTTATTCTTTAAACGTCCCAGCATGGCCCTAAAACTCTCGTCTATAAATGATGCTTCAGACGTCGGAGAAGAAAAATTTTTTTTTTGGAGATGCTCTGAACCTTCAGGGGTAGAAACCAGAAAAATTTTCATACATGAACTAGACTGAAGCATTTTTATTTATTTTTTACAGTAGAACCTTTGTCATGTTTAAGTGCCTTAAGAACAGGAATCAGTAACATCATGTGAGCGTCTCTGGTTCTGTTCCCTGTTGGTACCAAGAACGCTTCATTAAACCAAAGGTGGCTGCAGCTTCCCTGAATGGGTCCAGGTCCAGTCAGGTGGTTCTGGTGGAGGTAGACACCTATAGGGTCCGATGATAGTCTCTGCTCTGGGACCCGATGCTTCTGCTGGGCTCTCAGGAGAAGAACAGCTCCTCACAGAGCCGCAGCGTCTCGTCTGGACTGGACACTTCATGGCCGACGGTCCGTGGGTCGCTGTAGATCTCGTAGTCGTTTCCTCCCTGGAAGAGGAGGAGGAGGACATGAAGCCGAATGCTGAGGAAAAGTTCCTGCAGACTCAGGTTTACTTTAAAAATTCTGCTCAAATTAGAGGGAAATGCCTTCATTAAAGAAGTCACAACAAGAAATGGAGGAACCGACTGATAGGAAATTTATTTCCTCCTCATCCTTTAACCTCCAAGCTTCTTTAGCGGCTCATCAGAAGTTTCAGTTTCTTCCCCACTGCCATTAGACTGCTGAATATAGAATGGGTTATTGTATTGTGTGCATATATATATATATATATATATATATATTTAAAAAGAATTTTAGAACTGTAAATTTAAAACTAAATTTACAGTCATTTTTACTATTTTTCAAGGCTGCACTTTTCATCTTTTAAAAGATTAAATTTTCCATCGAGCTGTTTCTAAACGAAATTTCTTTTTGTTTTACACTTGGGTAAAAAAAAAAAGAAAAATAAAATCTGTCTAAAATCTATCAGAAACCTGAAAGGGATTCATCAGGAGAAAAACTGAACCGAACAGTAAGGAGGAAGGAACATTTATCTTTTTCTATGGATAAAAAAAAAAAAAAAAATGCTGTTGCTATGGCCGCAAATTCAACCTCATTACCCCTGATACCCCTAAATAAAGCACCAAACTAGTGCTGTCAGAAACCTGACAGCACTGAAGGGACATATTGGCCTAGTCAAAGTTCAAACATAAATCAGGTCTAGAATCTGGCTGGACTTAAAGCTGATGTGTGAGATTATCTCCGTCTGGTCTGATGGGGAAACAGTGTAGATGTTCAGATGATAGATACTGAATTTTTTATTCCACCTCAGGATTCGACCATATATAGGTCTGCAGATAAAAATCTATAAATTAATGGTTAGTTGTGTGAACTAAGGAGAAAGGCAGAAATGATCCATGAGGTGTGAGTACTATTGGGAGCTGCACTGCAAAAACGATCTAAAATTAAGTAAAAATTTCTTAAATCAAGTGTATTTAGCTTTAATTTGAGCAGGTAAATAAGATAGTTTGCCAATTGAATGAGTATTTTACACTTAAAATAAGTTAATTAGATAATAATGCAATAGATTTTTCTTAATTCAAATGTAAATCATCTTGTTCCATTGGCAAAGTGTTTCATTTACCTCCTCAACTTAGGATAAAATGCACTTATTTTAAGAAAAAATGACTTTTTTAGATTTACATTTTTTGCAGTGAGATACATCTGATAAAATGACTCCTGAAGTTTCCTCCAGTTTCTAAGGGAAGCTGTTCTCCTCCAAGGCGTTCCTCAGGACAGACTGAATAAGAGCTTTTGACTTTGACCCGTTTAGCAAACTCACAGGTTTGGTTTTGTCTCCAAAGAAGTGGATGGTTGAGTAGTTGTCCTTCTCTACGATGCCCAGACAGTACCTCTTGTCCCAGCCGTCAGGGAAGACGTCGAAGCTGATCTGCCCTCCTGCAGGGAAACAAAGACGATGAGTAACGTTGCAGTTTGACTGGAGCCGTCCCGCTGAGAGGACCGTTAAAAGGTCCACGGCAGGCAGGCGGTTCTCACAACAATGGTTATTTAAACAAGCAGCTTTCAGGAGGCTCACCGATGGAAAACGACAGACCCTTTCCTTTGAATTCCTCCTTCAACACTGAAACAAACTTTTCTCTGATCTTTTCTTTCTGCAAAAAAAAAACAAGAAAAAATCTCAAAGTCCTGCTGGAGCTCCATCCTTCAGACATCCCTTTCTTTTCAGAGCATGTTTGCAGATAAAGCGGGAGTTTAACTAAAGCAGCTCAGAACATGGGAAACATGAGGTTGACTTTAGAGAGAAGCAACCTACAGGGTGAGAGAAGTCCATAAAAATGGATGAACTTGAATAAACTCAGGATTTGCATTTGATCCTTGTTAACTCCAACATACGTCAGATATTTCATCTATTAGAATAAAAGTTGTTATTCCACGGTTTTGCAGCAAAACAACAGAAAGAGGAAAAAAACGGAAATTTACAACTAAGTTTCGACAGGTAAATTACTGATTTTTTAAAAGTAAATTTATTATTCTTCCAAATTTGTGGCTTTTGTAAATTTGCGATCCATAATCGCAGTTTTGCAAAGTTTTAACATTTAAACTTGTATTTTCAGATGAAACAAACACAAAAGAAAATCTTATTTATTTAAGTTTTTCTTACATCTTTATATCCATTTTTATTGGCCTTTATCTCTCTCCGTAGAAACTGCTTCCTAAGCAGCTTTAGCTCCTCACCTGATCCAGCTCGTAGAACTCTTTGCGCTCCTCCTGTGTGCAGCTGCGTCCGATGGGAGAAACGTTCAGCATCCCGTTACGGAACTCAATGAAGGTTCCTCTGAGGAGAAAAGGCATCATGCTGCAGCTCAGCCTTCATCGAGCAAACAGAGACTCGTCCTCAGGTCGGATCAGTGATTTTAATCCAAGGTCTGCTGAATGATAAACCAGAAGAAACGACTCGAAACAGAAGAGGTGGCGATGGATTTCAGCTTTTAATGGGGCCTGGTTCAGCATTAAGCAGGAGGATCAGTCAGTTTCAAACTTCTCCTGCATTTGATGACCCATAATCAGCACATTCCAGCAGAGTCATTGATTGTGGAAGGTATCCTTATGCCAATGCACTTCAAAAACCGTCTCGAAATAAGTAAAAATTTATTAAATTAAGTGTATTTACCCATAATTTCAGCAGGTAAATGAGACGATTTTCAAATGGAAGGAGTACTTTTACTCTTAGAATACGATAATTAGAAAATATATGTATTTGTTACTGTTTTCAGGGCTGCACTTAAAAAAATTAAATTGTCTAGAGCTGTTTTAAACGAGATTTCTTTTACTCATGTATACAAAATGACAAATCTGTCTAAGTCTAAATATGCTCTTGAAATGTAAACTGTCTTGTTCCATTTGTAAACTGTCTCACTTACCTCCTCAATTCAAGGGAAAATGCACTTATTTTAAGAAAAAGTGACTTATTTAGATTTCAATTTTTTTGCAGTGTACTTTAGAGCTTTTTCAGCAAGCCAAGGAGATTTCCAGGTTTTGGTTTGTCTTTTATTTCCTGGAGTCGTGACTCCGTACCTTTTTTTGGGCAGTTTGATCTTGGCCATGTAGTCCAAACAGAAGTTGATGAAATCTTGCAGCAGCTCTTCTCCCATGTGGGCCTGAATGGACTGAGGAGAGCGAGCAGAGAAAAGAAAGTTCACTTTGCAGGAACCAGAGTCGTATCCAGGACCAATGGTGCTGATCGCCACCTGATGATTAAATGCACGCTACCTGGACGGAGTGCAGCTGCCCGTTCCTGTAAGCCACAAGGCCGTTCTCAGCGAACACGTAGTCGGATTTCTGGATGACTGAGACAAAGACAGGAAGGAGAAACGTCAAACAGAGACATTAAAGCTGGCCATGTGAACCAGTCCGCCGCCTCACCGTCGTCTCCAAGCTGCTCCTTGATCTTCACCAGGTCCGACCCGCCAACCACTCCGACTCGAACCCGAGTCCTCAGCTTCTCCAGGAACTCTCTCATTTCTGGAGTCACGCTCTGAACACAAACAGACCCCCCCTCCAAAAATAAATGGACCTCCACAGGACAGAAACCATCAATATGGAGAGAAATTTGATCCAGTATTATAGACAGCAAAGAACACGTTACAAAAAAGGAGATTTGAAGAAAATGAGTTTCCAAAATGGGGCTTTCAAAATGTCTCAAATAAAAATATTTGATTGAATTTTTTTTTTTATAGAGTTTGTTGTTTACCAGATTTTCTCCTCCCTTTTGTTGTAATATTTTGTTAGATTTGTCTTTTTCAATTTAAATCTATACTTCCGGTTGTTCTATGCACGGACCGATAGAAGCAAGTCTGCTCTGGATAGACCTAGCAACAGCATTCCTATTGGTCCTCAATTTATAAAACTCAGTCTGCCCCTATAGAAAAAAAAATTGAAAGAATAAAATTGTATGCATTTTTTATCTTAATATGTGAAAATATAATATTTGAAAATAAAAACCTGAAATAAAAGGCGCTAAAAAAAAAAATAAACATTTTGAAGTTTTGCATAAACATAAATTTACAGAAGAGGATTAGGGCCACTGAAAAAATTCTCAGAATTCTGACTGAGTTCTGACAATAAAAAAAGTCAGAATTCTGAGAAGAAAGTCAGAATTCTGACTTTTTTTCCCATACTAGACTGAAATAAAATTTAAAAATCAGTTAACTTTTTTTTTTTTTTCCACTGGCCCTAATCCTCTTCCGTATAAATTACTTTAAGAACCCTTAGAAGTTTTTAAAAGTTCCCCATCTGAAGCACATTTTCTTCAAAAGTATTTCATTTTCTTTTTATTCTAATAATACTGGAACAAATTTATCTCCACATATCAGCCTATTTGCGCTTGTTCTCTGAGAAGGTTGCAAGTATCCGGTTGGATCCCCACAGCCTGCACTCTGGGTCCCTGAGCAAGACCCCCAAACCCCACACTGGTGGCCCTCTGCTCCACAAGGGGATGGGTTAAATGCAGAGGTACATTTCTCCAATGTGAGATCACTAAACTTCAATTATTAAACCATAAAACCTGCTTTAGATGTGTGGTGTTTCTGGGAAACACCACTGCTTAACCATCAGAGGGCAGAAGAAGAATTACAACATCTTCTTGTTTGGAGTGAAATTAATCTTAGTGAAAATATACAGTCTCACACCTGAAGGTTAAGAGCTGGGGGCCCTGAGGAGGTTTATTATGTGTTTAAATGAATTTTGGAGGAAGGATGTTTGGGCTGATACAGTCTATAAGAGCAGATTTATCAATTCAAGGTAATGATTTAGTCATAAAGAAGTGAAAATGTATTTGGGTTGTAAACACCTGGAATCATTTTCAAAAGGAGGTTTCTAAAGCCCATCAAATAGAGTAAAGACTATTTAATTCAATAATAATGTAGCTGTCAGGTGATGGTGACCCTGGACTGATGATTACAAATAAACGTTAATAATTAACAAATAAAAAATATCTTGATTTTTGTTTCTCTGTTCTATTCAACGCTGGGTCAGAGGCTGTTCTTTAATAATGGACCAGTTTAGATCAGTAGTCTACATTCCAGTTAAACTGGTTGATACTGGTCCAGCTATTAGCAGGATGCTAGCTAAAATAAACCGAAATAAGGCTAATATTTGAAACATTCGGGTCAAAAGGAGGATAATTACACAGATTTAAAGCTTTGCACTGGTTTAGAAATAATCGCTAAACTTCAGAGACGTATCTAAGGGTCCAAATTAGCTGTTTAACGAAAATCTTCAAAGTTGCTGGAAGAAACTACAAAAGTGCGTTCGGGTTTTATGTTCCGTAATATACTTCCGGATAAATGTAGACGCTAGCAACACAATTGTCTGTTTAAATAATTAATAGTATATTAAAAAGGGATATTTCTTTACGAATATGTATTTAATGAATTTTATTTGTATCTCAAACAACTGGTTGATTTTAACGTTTTAAGTTTTAATGCGGAACCAAACCCGTTTTGTGTTTCGGTAGAGCTCATTAAAAAGCGGACTGGCTACAGTAAATTACATAGAGCCGGAAGTTGTTCTGACAGCTGTCATGCGTTTCTGTTATCGTGTTTGATTTTTTTAATTTTTTTGATTACCTGTCTCGCGGCCGTCAGTGTGCCGTCAACATCAAAGAGGCAGAGCGTGCTCGTGTCCACGCTGTTGTCGCTCATTCTGTCCCACAGGGCGATCTCTGGTGGGCGCGTGTCCGTTGAGTGATACTGTGATCCCACCTGCTCGGTTCGATAAGAATCAGCTCAGGTCTACATCCCAAGACCCAAACTTCAGGTTGACTCGGTGACAAACGGGAGGAGAATGAGGAAAACACCTCCTCCTGTATCCGAGTGTTTAGCCAATGAAACTGCTCCCCGCGTCCAAAGTGACGTCACATGATGATGACACAAGGGCGTATATATAGGATCTTCAGGTGTCACTCAATAGTAGATATGTCTATAATACAAAAGAAACTAGATAAATCGGTAGATATTAATTTAGTACAGTTACATTTAGACAATTATTATCAATATATTCACATTTATACAGAGGCATCAAAAATAACAAGGAAAGTAGGTATAGCTTTTGTATTAACAAATTCAATATAAAAATAGCAAAACGAATTTCAGAAGGATTATCAGTATACACAGGGGAAATGTTGGCAATATTATTAGCTTTACAATAAAGACATAAAACCAATAAAAACTGTAATTTGTTCAGATTCAAGCTCTGCATTATTAAGTTTAAATATAATCAGTCAGATAGTAGGATGGACATTCTATTAGAAATATTTCATACATTATGTAGAATAAAAAATATGGGTTTTATAGTTGTATCTGTGTGGGTTCCAGCAAATATTGGAGTAGAAGGAAACCAGAGGACAGATCAAATGGCAAAGAGGGCAATTCAAAATCCTATTAGTTAGAAAAGTTGATGGAAAAATGGCAAACAAAGGCGGGATGAAAAAAAAGCAGGAAGATGGTTTTATAAAATTCAGAAGATAGTAAGAAAAGAAGAAATGGAAGATGAAATAGAAAGGAGGAGAGAGAGATTACAAGGTTAAGATTTGGGCAGACAGGACTTAATTATACACTTTTGTAAATTCAAAGGCATACTACTGGCAAATGTGATTACTGTGGAAAATATGAAACAATAGAACATTTTATACTGGAATGTCATAAATATGAAAGCGAGAGAAGATATATGAGGAGAGAGTTTGAATGTATTAAGGAAAAGATTAATTTATTACATATTTTGAGGCAGAATTGGGGGAGTAAACATATAAATAATTATTCAATTCTTAAAGAAAACTAAATTATTTCATAGAATTTGATTATAGAGAGGGTGAATGTGTTTATTATATAGACGGGTGGAATACAAAGTTATGTATAAATGTGTGAGTGTATGTATGCGTTTGTTTATATATATATATATATATTCAGTTCAAATGACAAAAACTGGGTTGACAAAAACAGCAGCACATATTGGGGATCAGATTCATGTCAAAATAATCTGCACAAACTTAAAAAAAAAACAGTATTGTTTGCTCTCTAGTTCTACTGGTTCCAAATTGGTCTTTTTCAAAGTAGAGCTTAAATCTGCTTAAAAAAAGCCCAGAATAGACCCAGTTTGTCCAACAGCATCATACACATTTAAAAAATAGTTCTACTGCTGAAGATTTAATTTTCTTAAATAAAACTCAAAAATTCTCCAAAGGAGCTTTAGGAGCAGGAGCTCACTGGAGCCCTTAGTAAGGATGCCACCTAGTGGTGGTTTTATGTTCTTTAGTTTCATGTTTCCTGGTATTTTACTCCAGTTATGACGAGAAGCTTTCCATGAAAAAGAGATCTGACCCAGTGTTCTCCATCTAGAAGGAACAGGAAGGTTTCCTCTCTTAGTAGCTCTGGTCCTGGAAGCACTTTATAAATGATGATGGCTATAAAGGGGGGAGTTGTGAGACTGTGCAATATTGAAAAAAACCAGAGAGCTGAAAACAAGATCACTTTAATTAAATTATGTCTTTGTTAAAATGTTAAGTAATGAAAACATGACTTATGTCCAGTGATAAACAAAGTCAAGAGCCCCTTCCTGGGGCCCATTCAGTCTCTGGACAGGTAGACTAGGAGTTAAGTCTGCAAACTGCACTAAGTGGGACCTGTTCCCGCTGCCCTCTGTCACCAGTCTGGTTCTTAATCTTCATGGAAAGGATTAAATGGTGCAGCCAATGGTCTGGTTTAGTTACCAGCGGATTTCTTCTCTGCTTTTTACAGATGATGTGGTTCTGCTGACTCTCTAATGCCAAGACCTGCTGCATGCAATGGGGCGGTTTTCAGCCAATGTGAAGCGGCTGGGATGACAATCAGCCCCTCCAAGTCTGAGGCAATGGTCCTCCACCGGAAAAAGGTGGCATGTCTCCTTCAGGTTGGAGAGTTCTTTTCTCAGATGGAGGAGTTCAAGTATCTTGGGGTCTTGTTCATGAGTGAGGGGAGAATGGAGCAGGAGATCGATGGGTGGATCGGTGTTGTTGCTGCTATAATGCAGTTGCCGTACCGGTCTGTTGTGGTGAAGAGAGAGCTGAGCGAAAAGGGAAAGCTCTCGTTCACCGGTCGGTCTGTGTTCTTACCCTCACCCATGGTCATGAAATCAGGATCAAGCCTAAAAGAACAAGATCCTGGACATAATCAGCTGAAATGAGCTTTCTCTGCAATGTAGCAGGGCACTCAGGGCACACTTTAGAGATAAGGTGAGGAGGTTAGTCATTCAAGAGAGGCTCAGAGTAGAGCGGTTTCTCCACATCCAGGGGAATCAGCTGAGGTGGCTCTGACTTCTTTTTCAATGCCTTCTGGACTCCTCCCTCTGAACGCCTCCTTCTGGAGGTTCTCCAGGCACGTCCCAACAGGAGGAGGCCCTGGGAACGACCCAGGTCATGCTGGAGGGAAGATATAACTTGGTTGGTCTGGAGCTGCATCGGGCTTCCCCCAGCAGAGCTGCAGGGCGTGTCTGCAGGGAGGGAAGTCTGAGTGACCTGGGCTTGTATAAAGTGGAAGAGAATGAAGTAATTCCACTGAAAAGGAAAAGAAAACACAATTACCTTTAAGCCCCAAACTCTTTTTCTTCTTCTTCAGAAACAGATCCACACGTGATAGTAGGGAACCTTAAGGTACATAAAAAGCAAGCCAGGTGTCCAGAGAAGGAGCATGGACTAATTCTGCGGCTGGTTGTCTCAAGTGGTAAGCCATGCATCATGCAAACAGGAAGCCTGGGTTCGTATGCCAGCTGGGGGAATGAGCTACTTTGAAGAGTGGCGGCCTGGGCATTGAGCTTGGAATCCAGAGGTTCTAAGTTCAAGCCCTACTCCCACAGACTGCCACTCTGGCTCACTTAGCAAAAACTTAAATCCCTGGCACCGCACAGTGGCAGCCCACCACTCCGCAAGGGGATGGGTTAAATGCAGAGAGTGAATTTCATTGCTTTGTACTTGTGAGAGTGTAATGACAATATTATTATTATTATATAATAACATATTTCATATAACATATAAATATATAATTATATTATAATAATACATTTTCAAAATGTGTGTGGACCAGTGTTAATTTAGTCAGAATGACAGAAATCAATTTTAGTCTTAGTCATATTTAGTCATTGCCTTCTCGATTTAGTTTTAGTCTTGGTCTAAATGATGAAAATCCATTTTAGTCTTAGTCAAATTTTAGTTGTTTTTGTCCTTTTAGTCATTTTAGTCAACACTGTAAATAATAGAACTTCACCACACACTGCTTCTCTTTTTCTCTATTTTATTTATATAACGCTGTGCAGCATAGAACTTCATACACTTTTCTTTTTAACATTTATCCCACTGCACACATTGAACCTTTTGTCGGCTTGTTTCATCATATCCACAAAGTCTTCATCCTCAATGGTCCTTGCAGACAGGCCAGAACGCCCAATCCACTTTGCCTGTGAGTTCTCTAGGGCTTTAGTGGGTGGGTTTAAATAAAACAGTATTTATTCTGCATATGCACTTCTGTCAGAATTCTGATTTCATATGCTTTATAGCTAAAAACCATTAGAGCATTAAAAAAAAACTGTTTTTATGCTCTAAAAATTGGAAATAGGCATTCTATACATTGTGAAAGAGCTCTTTAAAAACAAGACTAAAGACATTTTTTTTTGTTTACTTTGCTTTTCCACTGTAATATAAAACGCTTTTTATTCTTTCTTCATGTGTTATCACTATAAAGATCTCTTTATTCATATGTATTCCTTTCAGTAAACACTTTGAGTTGCCTTTGGAAAAATAAATACATCTAAGTCAGATGTGTGTTAGGTCTTTTACTGCTTAAAGGAAAATGCTCAGAATATATATTCAGTGGCCGCAGATGAAGGTTTGAAAGCAGATGGAGAAGAAACCCGAGAGCCTCAGGTCCCTCTTTACCCAGACAGACCCCACCATCTGTCCTTTTTATAAAAAAAAAAAATAACGTTATATAGTGAGAGTATTGTTGATTGTGATGAAAGTGAATAACACAGTGTTATTTAAGCAATGGATAAAATAAAATGTTTCTGTGTTTTTCTTTTGAGCAGAAATACAGAGCATAGGAGCAAAACAACAACAAAACAATGAGACTTATTCAAGATTTTTCATTTTTAAATCATCCTTTTTCTTGACCATATAAACTTCTGGTCTGATGCTTCAAACACCAGATGAGCCAGATGGTGATCAAGGCTCATATCCACTTTATTTTGTTTGGTAACTTTGGTTCTGTTTGCAAAAGAAAAAGCAAAACTCCAGGGCCTTTTTCATATCTCAGTGATAATTAGTGGGAGTCATGAGACCCTGCGGTGAGAGTAAGGCCTCATTACATGTGAATTCCTCTCAGATCAGTTTACAGATAATGTAATTCTGTCTCTCAGTTTATTCATCATCAGTTGTGTGCTGTTCAGATAGGCCTCTCTCTGTATTCATAAATATTTATGGGTAAAGACGTGTTTATAGAAAATTTGCTTCTGATCTGGATCCAGTAGATGGCATAACACAATCCTGTGCTATCTCTATGTGCTAACCACTTCTTCTTCTTTAACATGAAGCCTTTCATCCTGACCCTTTAGATCAAGTTTGAAGTTATGTCCCCTAAAAAAGGCCGTTGCACCTCGGGGGCTTCCTCACGGTCCTTTTCCTGGGAGCAAGTTATTTACTACTCTTAACTCGAACTGAGTAAAACCATATAAAAAGGACTATAAATCAGGAGTAAAAAATAACAGAGTTTATTCCAGATCAGGTCGTTACAGGACAGAGAAAATGCTTGGAGCTTGCACAGCTGTGGGCTCAAAAATCATGTCCGCGAGCGTCCGGCAAAGATTGAACCCCGAACAAGGTCATCACC